CCTCCTCAACCACTCATTCAGTTCACTCTACTCACCGAGCTCAAGTCTCCCCCCCCCCCTCTCTCTTTGAAGCACAAGAGCCTCTCAAATCTCTCTCATCTGTTTCAGATTTCTCCGGTGGATTCTTACCATTTTCATCACCCAAGGTAGCTCTCTCATTTCCCCTCATTTTGATTGGTTGATATCTTTGTTTAGCTTGCATTTGCTCATTTGGTTGCAAACCCTAGCTCATGTGGTCAAATCAATTCATATGATCCATTTAGGGTTATGTTTGTGATTTCCTTATTTATGATGTGCTTAGAATTGCTTGTAGAATAGTTTGTGTACCTAGATCTAGTGCTAGTATTAGTGTACATAATTGGGGTTGGGTTAGGCTTCAGAAAGCAATTAAACCTAAGTTTACTTTAATAGCAACTTCTCGAAATGTAGGATGGCACTGTTCGTTTTCTTTGAAGCTTCTGCTGAGGCGGCGACGAACCGTAACGCGAATTGATTGAGGAAAAGATGAACTTGTGGGTGAAAACCATTGATGCGTTGAATGCGGAGTGTAGGGCCTTTTCACATTATTATTTCAATAATGACCGTTCAGAAAATTTTATCAAAAAAAAGGAGAGGCAGATGGAGAAGCTCAAGACGGTGGAAAAAAATGTAGGAGTCATCTTGCAATGCAAATTGCATTGTGTGTGACAAGGGGAGAATATGCTGAGATAGACATGGGAAATCATGGTCAGGTCATTTTGGTTAGTTCGCCAACCATTCTCGTCGGACGAGAAGCGGGCTTCTCGTTGGGCATGGGTCAAAGAAAGAAATGATGTTATTTGTTGCAACCCGGGACCGTATGCCACATAGAATTGCATGAGGCTATGTAATCTTTGTCATTTGGACTGTAATGACATGTACCCTTTGCTTGGTTGTCATTTGAACTGCTATGAGTGTCATTTGGACTGTAATGACTTGTACCCTTAACATTTGGACTCATTAAGAACTTGGTGTTGTATGTCATATCAAGTAACCAAGTGTTGTACTTCATTGAATTTATTTTATGTTTTGTTGTATGTCATCTTAAATCCGTATATTCATGTAGGATGGACATTCGATCCATGACTATGAACATAGTGTGTGAGAAGCTCATGTCAGAGCGACATCGTTGCTTGAAGAGGGAATGTGAAGCATGGTTAAAGAGTTGTGATGAGGCAAATGCGGCCATGAAGGATTTCAACAAGTATCACTTTATCGAGGAACCTTCTGATGCTAAGGAGAAAAAAGCTTTTCGAAAGCTTGTGAAGGAAAAAAGGAGGATGCTTGATGAGCTGCAAGACCGGGAATATGCTTGCAGACACACTTTGGCAATTGAGATTGCGTTCACTGCTAGCAAAGAAGAATTCCGTGAGATGGACTTGAGGAAACCCGACCAGGTCATAGGATGGGCAATCAAACAAGGCGTTTCAGAGAATCCCGTCCGCCGTGCTGCATGGGCCTGTTTCCGTGAAGCGAATGGTGTGTTGGGTCATTGGGCAGGATCCACCGACTTTCAACTGAAGCGTAATCAAGCGCGTGACGAACAAATTGAATGTCTGATAAGTATGAGAAATATGTTACCTGTTTAGAAAATGTGTCGTTGAGCTTGAGCCTCTAGTTTGAACCGATGTCATCTGAACCGAGCCATGTTTTAATTAGTTTGAACATGTGTTATTCGTGGATGTAATGAACTATGTTGAGTTGAGTTATGTATGTGTTTGCGAGATGATCACTCTAATATTTGGTATAAGTGGGTTATTGTTCTAACATTCGACAGAAGGGGGTAGGAAAGAGGGGAGGAGAGGATTCAAACCCTACCGCCACAGCCTTCAGTGGTAGGGTGCAGAACCCTACCGCCAGTGCCTGTGGCGGTAGGGGGGGTAAACCTGTTGTACCGGTAAAACGAAGGGCCTTGGCGGTAAGGGGGACCCTACCGCCATAGGCTATGGCGGTAGGGTCTCCCTTACCGCCAAGGCCCTTCGTTTTACCATTACAACAGGTTAGCCCCCCCTCCCTACCGCCACAGGCACTGGCGGTTACCCCCCCTACCGCCACAGGCATTGGCGGTAGGGTCATGACCTACCGCCAGGGCCTCTCGTTGTGACGGTAGGGTCCCCCTTACCACCAACGCCTCTGGTTTTACCATCACAGTAGGTTTGCCCCCCCCCCCTACTGCCATAGGCCATGGCGGTAGGGTCAAGCACCCTACCGCCAGGGCCTGTGGCGGTAGTGGGGCTAAGCTAAAAACAGAGCAAAACAGAGTTGTCCTCTGTTTTGCCCCTCTTCTCAGCACAACAATTAACAAAAATTCCAGACAAATCACAGAAATTGCTGACAAACTAAAGTTCATTCATGACACCTTGCAAACATCTCCACACCAAATTCAATACAAATGGCAAATTCATTCACTACAAGTTCATGACATGTGCATTCTTGCATTAATTAGTACTACATAGTTCATGATAAATTTGGCATGGATTCATCCGGTTACATGACGAGTCCACCGAAGCAAAGGCTTTACTGAGTCATACGGGGGCCATTTCCCCTTCTTGTCACGTGCCTCATCCTCCTCTTGTGCCTTGCGAGCCTTTGCAAGCTTTCTTGCCCTCTCCTCCTCATGAGCAAGCTTCGCTTGGCGTGCCCTCTCCTCCTCGTGTTGCTTGCCCTCCATCCTCTCCTTCTGACGACGCTCTTCCTCCAAGCCTCTTCGAAACCTTTCTTCGAACAGCCGCTGGCGCCTAAGACAATCTTGATATTGGTCCTTTTGGACATCTTCTGGCACTTCATGATCTATCCACGTGAAGTACTTGCATAGAGGAGGCGGTGACTGCATACAAAATGGATGTTAGTGTTGACACACATTTTAGAGTAACATGTTACTTCTCTAGCATACCGGTGGTTGGTCATAGGCATGAGTTGGAAGCGCACGATCATAAGCATAGTTGGGGCATACAAAATATCTCCTTCCTTCCGTCCATGACTTCTTTCGGTCGGTGGACACCTTCACCTTGCAAACATCTCCACACCAACATGGCGGAATCTTCACATCTTTCTCCTTCACCTTGTCCAAACATGCGTTCTCCCACTTGTGCGGCATGTCTTCTTGGTTAGCACACGGTGGCCTCGTCATGGAACCGGATGAAGCCATGCCTACAACAATTAAAGATGTTAAGTCAAAAAATGAACACATTGACATGTAAAAAGGCAAATATATCAACACATGTACATATTAAAAGTAGTACCATTCACATTATTTCAACCATCCGGATTGAGCAACACGTCGATAGGCCTTCCCCTATCAACCCGACGTGTACTAGAACCACCGGATCCACGGCCATGGCCCCCTCCAAGGCTAGTCCTTCCTCCACGGCCACGGCCCCCTCCAAGGCTAGTCCTTCCTCCACGGCCACGGCCCCCTCCAAGGCTAGTCCTTCCTCCACGGCCACGGCCCACTCCAAGGCTAGTCCTCCCTACACGTGTTTGACTAGTGCCCATGTTGGTTCTAGGTTTCTTCGTGCATCTCCTAACGTTGTGTCCTGTTTCGTTGCATTCTCCACAATTGTTGGTGTCCGATGCCTCCATGAAATGACCACTACCAAATTGCTTCATTCCGGTGTATCCAGCTAGATCATCCATGTCACTCCTGAACCTCTTCTTTCTTCTTCTTCCCCTCATAGGCACCATGAGTGCGGGATCTGGCACAATGTCTGGGCCGTGATACTCAGGCCACCGTGAGGCATCAAGGAAAGGATTAAACCGAGGCGCCCACGTCAACCTTGTTCGTTCCAATGTGAACTTGTGCAACTGCACCGTTGTGCCATCGGATACGGGCACGTTTCTCGCCCGTTTTGCGGTCAATGCGAGCAAGGCCAATGATACTTGTGTGGCCTCTCACACCGGCACCAACGGTTTTTCATGTGCACCTCGTAAGCAACTCCACCATAGGACCTACCGTCCCTTATTGTCCCACCCGGCTCATCGATTTGATAGATCATTTCTTTTTCATTATATTTGATCACTTGTTGTTTGGAGGACTTCCGCGCTTGATGCAACAGCCAATCTAGAACCTTGAATGGATAGTCCATCTTCTCGCCAATCCACTTGGTCGTGCTTTCAGAATGCTTTAGGAAGTACTCGTTGATCTTGATGAAAGTGTACTTGAGAATGCTTTAGAAAATATCCCATGGTAATGGTCCCCGGTGAAACATGCCAACAAGAATCTGGAGCTAGTTCAAACACACAAATCCGCCAATTCGTGCATTTTGCCCGTAAAATACTCTCAGCTAAAAATCGCACACAGAAGCAAAAAATGAGGGCGTTATGAACTACTCCCTCCGTTCCCAAATACTTGTCTTTCTAGACATTTCAAATGGACTCAATATACGGATGTATGTAGACATATTTTAAAATGTAGATTCACTCATTTTGCGTCGTATGTAGTCACTTCTTGAAATCTCTAGAAAGACAAGTATTTAGGAACAGAGGGAGTAATGGAATTGCATGGCATACAACATCGTCCGATATCATAGAAACAGAAACTTTTATTGCACTAGCAATTTTTTGCAACTATTCCATGCAGTCTGGGCGTCAGTGTGCACTGCAGGCGATACCCATAATAGAATACAGCGTACTACTTTAAAAGTCATTTGAAATGAGATCCACAGCTTAATAGCATTTCCAACAGATCAGAAATAAACATTGACTCGGGATAATCTGGGAAGAAACAGTCGCACCCAGAAAAACCGAGCAGTTGCTAAATTGGGTCCAACATAAGTGTACACCATAGGCCACGATGATTAACAACACATCATGGTCATGGAAGCTGAGTTTATCCCCATCCGACCCAGCAAATAACATCTGCTGCTCTCCTTGATTCGACACGGCAGGTCAAGCTTGGGAAGCTCCGCAAGCTTCTATTGCAAGCCATCGGAGCATAAGCTCTAGGCAGCAGAAGTCTCTTTAGGAAACCCAGAATTGATCGTTCATCTTCTAGAGCTGTCATCTTCTTTCACCAGGTTCGGGGGGTATATCGTGTCAAAGACAACCAGCGTGAAGAGATTTCTTACCTCAGCAGGTGTACCATTTGCTAAATTGTGATAATCGATATTTCCATCGCTTTTTGGTTCATAACCAATCTCCTTTTTTCCATGTTGAACACGCTCAATTAATTTGAGAACCTTCAAGTATGCTTGTAGCGGGATAAATACCTAAACCGGAATATGTACCAAGATGGCATAAATCAGCCTCAGTACAGCATGGAGCATTGCAATTGTCACTCTATCTAGAATAGATAAAATACTAGTAGCATGGCTGCAGTTCATCTCTATCAGTGCTGGCAATGTTGTGCGTGTAAAGAGGTAAAGAACTAGGAAATCTTACGATGCATGCATTAGTTCAGGAGCAGCTATTCCTGGCTAAGTGACTACTCCTACCTGTTAAAATATCATGCTTTATAGGCCATAGTTAATATTGTTACTGATGATATGAGAGTTCTCTTAGACCAGAGAGATGTTCTCCCGTGCTTGAGAGATAGTCCCTCCGTCCCAAAATAAGTGTTTTTGATTTAGTACAACTTTAGGGACTGAGGGAGTACTTAGATACACCACTACCCAGAAAGATATCAGCATTAGTTAGTTATTTGAAAAATCTTTGGGCCAGCCTCAGGCTTACCCTTACAGAGTTGGACAGGCTGGGGCCTGGCTTTTCAGGCCTGTCCCAAAGCACAATATTTCAACAGGTCTACTTGCAAGCAGCAAATAACTAAACTAAATATGGAGGGCAGAAGAATTTGCACTTACAAGATCTGAGGACGGTGCTTGAGGGATTTTCGCCATAGCATTTGCAACATAATACTCGTCAGTCATTTCAGTTAATGCCTGCCTCATTGAGATAGCAAGGTCTTTTACCTCAGCTAATAACCCTTTTTTGCCCCACATCCGTGGTTCCAAGAGCTCTGCAAACCCAGCATCATGTTGACGGTTGATTGATTGTCCAATATCCACTGCCAGTGGCAGATCACCTCCAAGGTATACAGCGAGTGCAAAAGTAGCCACCACCAAAGGATCCCGTGGTTTGCGTACCAATGCCTCATGGAACGCTAAAATGCTTATCCTGTAGAAACAACAATCAAATAGAATGTCATCTTAGCAAGTAGTACTGAATCCCACGGATAACATTAAGAGTCTGGAAGGATGTATACTTCTTAGAATTAGAGGTGTGGAATCTGTATAAATTGTTGAGTTGTACAGAAATAACAAGTTGAATCATTCAACTCTTACCATAAACTATTATGGCATGGCCTGTTAGGTGCAAGAAAACTATCCAGCTTAGAAAATAGGACCTGCGCGCACAAGATGGTAAATTTAATAGACAAATCTAGCAACTAAAGCCAAATTAAAAAAATATCCATAGCATGCCACCACAACATAGAATTGCCTCCCAAACAGAAAGAACTCCACAATCTCAACTTAGAAATATTGTGCAACCAATCTATTATATTGGGGCTCAGCACTTTTGGCCGATTGTCAAAAACATATTTAGACCCTAACTAGCTAGGATTGTCAAAAACATATGGGTTCAAGATTCTGGGAGAATCTGGGGGAAGGTCTGATTCTCAAGATTCTAGGAGAATCGACCAAAAGAACTGGGCTCCAATATAATAGGTACGAGTTGTGTTTGATTCAATAGAACTAGACCATCCAAAAAAAATGGACTCAAATGACTGGTAAAATTAGTTCGAACCTAGAATTGCATTAATCGCTCTTAATTGCACAATCATTCACTTAATTTTTATCAGATAGTTTCCTTTACATCTCCTTGCTGAATCAACTCCTTCATTACAGCCTGCATTCTTGCGCGTGGGGCACCCCCAATACCCTTTTCTGAGTTGCATATACGGCACGACATACATATTGTGTAAAACATGCATTGCACGTAAACAATTGCTAGTAGAACTTAAACCTTGGCAAACATTTAGTAACTTATTAGTAATCTGAGTAAATTGCCTCAGTGCTACCAAAGTCTATTCGCTCCGGAGTACAACTCACACATCATCTCTATCCAAGTACGAGTGATGGCCCAGTTTTTTTAGTCAATGCACTGGGCAAAATTTGTTCTTTTTCTGGATATACCCAAAGGAACCTTGAGTCATCTCTCCCATAAACACTAACCGTGCTCCCTGGGCATAGGTGTCAGTGCCTTAAGCACCTGTGCTCCGTCTGCATGTGCCTGATAGTCAAGGGCTCACAGCCTTGACAGCTTGAGGGACTATAATGTATTTCAATCCTGTTTTGGAGAATTGCAAAACTCGTAGTTGCTACAGAGTAAGGGCGTGTTCGGTAGCCCTCCAACTCCTTACTCCGTCAACTCCGGGCGTGGAGCTGCCCCGAACGGTCTAACTCCTGGTTTTGGAGAAGAGAAGCTTGCAGTGTAAAATCTGAGGAGTCGTGGAGTTGGGAAACCCGAGCTCCTCGAAAACTTGGAAGCGGGAGTTACGAAAAATTACTGCCTCCTGCCACCGCCAAGTAACCCGTACCGGTTCGATCCCTCGTCTCGCCTCTATCGCTCTATCCCTCATCTCCATTCCCCTCCACTGGTGCACCTCGTCCACCCGTGGCCGCCCCCACAGCCGCCACTCGCGTTCCTCCGCCGTGGTTGAACTGGCACTTGGGGATACAGAGCGCAGTCTTCCGCCGTCCAGCTACTCCACCTTGAGCAAGAGCTCCACCGCCCGCCGTTCACCTCCTCCGCCTACCAGTTGTGCCTCCTCGGTGAAACAACGTGCTTCCTGGACCGCCGGACGAGTGGCCGCTGGAACGCCGGGGCCAGAGCGCCGCACTGACCATCTCTCCTGCGTGAGGAGGGACTTGATTGTAATCTGATTATGATTCCTAGGGCGGTTTCTGATAATGTTCTGGTTATTTATTTTCTAATTGGACAGACAATACCAACTCAGCCCGACCGGGCCTACTCCAGGCCTCTGTTCTCAGCTTGAAAGTCCAGGCCGATTCGAGCCACATTCTAGCCTAATGGGCTGGCAGCCCATGCAAGCGCTACAGATGCAGAAGCTGTACTCCCGAACGTATCCTGACTCCAGGATTTTAAACGAGAATCTAGGCTGAGGAGTTGAGCTGAGGAGTTGAGGATTTTGGGGAGGTGGAGGGTTACCGAACAGGCCCTAAATTTCTCTATTAATTAAGTAAGTAGATGAAAATTAAAATGTTATTTGCGTACAATCTCAAGGGCCCAAACTTTATGAGTCCTCTATTAATTAAGTAAAGATGAAAAAAAAACAATGTTATTTGAGTATATTCTCAAGGGCCCAAACTTTTATCAGTGAGATATACATTTAAAAAAAAAATGGAACTTACCAGCAACATGTTAGTCCCATTATCCTTCCTCTTAAAAAGAGTTGAAGAAAAATATGCAGCCTGTATAGTTCAACCAAATAGTTCAGCTAAAATCACCACAACAAACACCACTATATTTTGAGATATCAACCATAGCTATACCTGAAAGGGCAATAAATGTTCAAGAAGACCAAATCTCCAAAGCAACCTTAAAGAAGCTTCAGCTGAACCATAAGCAAGCATATAGTTAACCTCCATGAGTAACCTTCCCTACAAGAAGGAAATCAGTAAGAGACAGGCACCTGTGCTCCGTTCTTGCTTCTTCAATGCATATGAGAAGACAAACATTCACAAAATATAAGCACATTGTGCATACAGGATCAAACCTTGTCAAGTCTTGCCACAGAACAGGCAAGATTTCTCACATAATAAGCTGTTTCTTTGGGAAAGCTGAATCCTAATCGAGCAGCAATTCTGATTGCACGTAGAATACGAGCTGTTAATTACAGATTGCATATTAATGCCAAATTCACAAAAAGGCAAAAATAAAAAAAAAAGGAAATCAAAAAAAGACAAATTTGAAATGATACTGACCACAATCCTCATGGAACGAAGTGGCGGCAGGAATGACAGTACGAACCTGTTGAAAGGGGAAAAGGATGCCATAACAAATAAATGAAATGATTGATGTTGAACACAAGCAAAGATGATGCAACTACAACAATTATCGATACAGCAGACCTTAGCTTTCTTAATATCTTCAATGCCACCCAGGTAGTCATAGATCTTTTCTGAATATGGATTGAACATTAATCTGCACAGATTTAACATCAGCAAATATGCATACCACAGCTTGCAGTATGGAAACTAGTTATCATGTAAAGGAACACCAACCCATTTATAGTGAAGTCCCTCCCTTGGCAGTTTTTCCAGCGTAAATAATCGTTCTTGCTACAATGTGGGTTCTTTGAAGTGGGCATTTGATTGCCACTTGACCCTCGAACGTAAGTATTAAAACTTGACACCTGCCAGGAAGGATAAGAAATTTTCAGTAGGCAGCACATGTGGTGTGAAAGGAAATCTAATTCAATGACACTCAGTATTGAGTTGGCAGCATATGTGGTGTGAAAGGAAATCTAATTCAACAACCCCCCTCTTAAAGTGTGCAAATTCTGACGATCCAGCCAAGCACAAATGTGTACGAACCTCAACAATGGAATTATTGTCATGTACATGAACTATGGGAAACCGCCTTCCTACTATAACAGCTGATCCTACAAAGGTGTCTTTCACCTGCAAGAGTTCAAAATAGCATCCTTTGTTGGTAAGGTCAACAAAATTGCTTTTGCATCTCAAATAGAATAAGAATTTGTTGACGACTTGCAATGCAACATAACTGCAAAATATGACACATGCAAATATACAATTAGAAGTGAAATTATACATAGTTTTTATTTATACCTTTAACTTATCACGGATAGACTGAAGGTATCTCTTATTTCAGATAAGGAAAAACTGCATGCATCTAATATCAAGCAAATACGCTAATTATGTCTGTTGCAGTTGATTTTGACAAAACTATTATTATTCTAGAAAATTTACTATCTCCACATTTCAGTAGAAATGTTAGCTTTGACTCTTCGAGAACCGTACGACACACAACAAACCAATTTGTAATAAAATCACTGCATAACAATGGCATGCTCGTTAATATGAGTTATAACCTGCCTAAGATCAGCTGTTGTTATTATGTCAAAATCTTTTGGGATTTTCTTCATTATGAGATCTCGAACACAACCACCAACCAAGTACACATCATATCCTGCAAAGCAGTAAAACGCATACACATATCACTAAATCTGAGAGTGCAATAACAAAAAAGTAAAACCCAAATGGATACTTCACCTGAAGACATAAAACCTTCGGTTATCATCGTGGTTTTAGAATAGTAAGGAAAAACAATAATTTTATAGTTCTTAGCTACCTAACAGCAGGGTTGTTGAAGTGTATATGTGGATTACCTAGCCCTTTCCATTAGTCTGGGCTTTTGGTTGCGTTGGCTAGTGCATGAAGCTTAACATGGTATCAGAGTCCAAGGTCTTGAGTTCAAGTCCTGGCTTTCGCAATTTATCGAAACATTGCCGTTGCCCCCCTTTGTCCACGTATATGCCTCTTGAGCCATGCCTCTGAGTCTATCCACGTGTTGACTTTCCGTGTCACACGTGAGAGGGGGTGTTGAAGTGCATATGTGGATTGCCTAGCCCTTTCTATTAGTTCAGACTTTTGGTTGCGTTGGCTAGTGCATGAAGCTTGACAAGGGTAACACGGTGGAATTGAACTTCCTTGCTGAATAGTGGAACAATAAAACCAGATACATTTCATACCCATTTAATACCATCAACCATCAGGGATTTTGTAGGACTTCTAAATGATTGGATTTTGGAGGAAATTTTCCTTTGGGGCCCTTTGGTTTGTAGGAATAGAACCCTATTCCTGTATAGGATAGGAACAAATCCATTGTAATTCAAAGGAAAAAAACATTATCCTAGACCAAATTAAAATATCCTATCCTACGAACCAATTGACATCTCTTTCCCTATAGGATTTGAGATACATCTCATCTCACTTCCTATGGTTTTCCTATTCCGATGATATTCATATCCTATGAACCAAAGGAGGCCTCAAATGGTCATGCGAGTATTTCACGGAAAAATAAAAGAATGCTATAATTTACTAGTGGTTATGTTCTTATATCACGAGAGTCAAACGCTGAACCATGATATTACCATAATACTCCCTCCGTTCCAAAATAGATGACCCAACTTTATACTATTTTAGAACGAAGGGAGTAGCTGTAAAGGAGCAAACTTTCAGCTAAACGATTCACTTTAGGGCTAAAAAGAAATCCTTCTATATGTGTATCAGGGGCTTGTCATAAACTCATGATCAACAGATAGCATTGGTCCCTCCTCAAGAAAGGAAGAAAGACAAGATTAGTAGTGACAATTCAGTGTTTCCACGATAACAATCAAGCAAACGAAAAAGGGGCGCACCTCTGCTACGGAGTCGGTGGAGGACGTTCCATGCCTCATCGGGGATCATGGACTCCTTGTACCCGAACCGCTTCGCGCTGACCTTCTTCCATTCCGGCCCGTCAGCGTCGCCTACACAGACCTCGGCCCGATCGGGGAGTAAGCGAAATCATAGTGTATCACCATCAGACCAGCGGAGAATACGCAAGAAGAGGCGCAGACTTACCGGCGGAGGCGGTCGAGGGGTTGGAGTCGGAGGGCGAGGGAGAAGGGGAAGGGGACGGGCCGCGGCGGCGTCGGCGGGGCGAAGCGAGCGCGGCAAGGGGGGAAGGAGCGAGGCGGCTGGGCCGGGAGAGCGCGCCGAGCCCTGTGGAGGCGGCGAAGCGCAGCTCCGGCGAGCGAAGCGCCATTCGGATAGAGGCGGCGGCGCACGCCAGCGGACGCGCGTGGAGGGGGATGGGATAGCAAACAGACGAGACGACGAATATGCGATGCGATGGAGTACCGGGGCTGATAGACAGCCAGCCCGTGGATCTTCACCGGATAAGTGGGCTCGCCAAGCTTGGACGAGCTTTAGGGCGCATTCTTTCGTGGGCAGGGCAAGGGTGTGTTGGGTTCGATAATGAAGTGGAATGAAATGTCATAGTTTTATTTCACTGAGTTGATTTTATATTTTTATTTTAGGATGCCGATAACTGCCACGTGTGTGCTAATTCGACATGCGCCCACATATCATGTATGGTGTGAGCAGGAGGCAGCCCACACGGGCTGTGTGTGGGTGAATATTAAAATTGCCCACAGGTGTGGGCGCGGCTACTTCTTGCGACATGCCAACAAGTACTAGTCATCTCCACCCCGTGTGTGTTACCCGAAGCAAAGATGCCCACATGTCCTGACGCAACTACGTTAGGTACACCGCGGGATGACGATTTAGTTGTCATCCTAGTTGGCAGATGTAGTTATCCGGGATGGCAAGTGTAGTTGTAAAAGTATGGCAACTCTATCTGTTTTGGTTAACTATAGTTGCCATGTCTAATTTATGGTAGTTGCCGCGTGTAATCAAACCGGTATTGCCGTGTGTGATTAACTACTTGCCACATATGGTCAAACAGTAGTTGCCATGTGTGTTTATCTAGTTGCCACATGTGGTCCAACCATAGTTGCCGTGTGTGATTAACTACTTGCCATATATGATCAAACAGTAGTTGTCATGTGTGTTTATCTGGTTGACACGTACGCGCAGCTGCAGTTGCCGTCTAGCAAAAAATCGCAGTTGCCATGTGTGTTTACCTAGTTGCCACGTTCGTCTAACTGCAGTTGCCATCTATAACTTAGGAGTGTCATGTGGACGAAAAGTAGTTCGTCCACACGCGCATGAACTAGGTGGCTGGCTGTGTGGACAGAAATTAGTTCGCCCGCACAGCGCAGCTGGCAAACAACATGGTGCTAGCGTGTGGGCAAACTCTCCAACGCCCATACACCAGCCCCGTCCTACGTGGCACACAAAATCAACCTTTTTGTGCCAAAATTCGTGTAAAAGGCATTGGACGACGATTGAGGCGTGTGGGCGAGTTGGGTAACGCCCACATGTGTGGGCGTTAGTGTTTTCGTTATTTTATTAGCCTCATTTGATAGAATAGAATTGTTACATTAGAATGTTTGGTTTGAGAGAGAAAGTGGAATGGATTTGATTCACCTCGTCTCCTGTATAAAAATGATGATGTTATCTCTGCTCTCATATGCAAATGCATAATATAAACAAATATTGCTATTTATATTTTAGAAACATATTATGAAAATTTTAGTGCCATTCACATTGGATTGGAACATAATTCACGGTATTTCTTGTTGAGCGGGACACATACAAAGGTAGGAAAATCATCAACAAGCACACAAACAAGCAAAATTGCACACAACGCTGGGCACAGAACGACAAACCACAGCGAGGCGTCTCCCCCTCCCCCAACCCCCGCGTCGCCCCTCCTAGGCGACTTGGGGGAACTAGGGTTTCCCCCCGTCGCCACCCCATCCCGGTGGAGCCCCCCTCCTCGTCGCCGTCGCCAGAGGCCGCCGGCCGTTCCGCGGCGGCGGCGGGCCTCCCTTGCCCCTTCCCCCCTCCTCTCCGCGTCTTCCTCCTGTTCTGCCCCTCTCCGGTGGGATTTCATTGCGTGGCCATGGCTGGGGAGGCTTGGCCGGCCATGGAGGCGCGGCTCCTTGAGGTAGGGGCACCACGGGTGGTGGGGAAGGGGTATGGCCGACCAGGGAGGTGGTGCTCCCTCGCTATCGATTGCGCAAGGTGCGCGAGATCCCCTCCCAGCTGATGCTGGTGTCTTGAGTGGGCGCGGCTCACCCAGGCAGGGGCTTGCTGCCGTTTTCCCTCCAGCTGATCGGGAGGGTCTAGCGAGGCCATGGCCGGCGACCGTTGCGCTACTCTTGCCGTATCGGTCCCCCCAGATGGTCCAGATCTGTGCTCCAGGGTCTCTACATCGGTTGGGTGGGTGCTGCGGGAGTCCGTGGTGTTGGGTGCCGGTGGGGCGTTGATGCGGCAGCAAGGGTGGCTTGCTGCGCATCTGCGGCCTGTTTCTCAACAGGTTTGGTGGCTTCTTCGGTTTTGGAGCGACGGCTCCAGGTGGTGGGCTTGGCGGTGCTCTTGTGGTAGAGGTCGTGTTGCTGGTGCTGGTTTGGTGTCTTGGCCGTGTGGATGGAAAGGTAGCTCACGGAGGAGGCATTCATGGCTGGGAGTTGGCGGTCCCTCCTTTCCCAGTTTTGGGCGTTGTCTCCACGGGTCTCGAGTCTCCTCACCTCGCCATCGGTTCCTTTTGAGTGAGTTGCGATGGAGGTGTGGCTAGTGGACGTTGGGTGGAAGGTGGTCGAATCCCAGGCGAAAGCTTTGCTCGACATCGTCGATGCCGGTGACGGCGACGCTCTCGAGCACCGTACCCCTCCTTGGAGGCGTCACTGTGGGTGGCCTCCTCCTCCGTGCTCTGGGTGAAAACCCTTGGTCCTTTTCGGACCGGGTGGTGGCGGCGCTATGGCATCGTTTCCTTCTTGAAGGCTCCGCCTTCGGGCAAGTCCCATATCCATTGGTGGTCGGAGTGTGGTGACTGGTGACAGCTTCTTCTCGTCGTGTTGAGGGTCTCGTAGTGTTTGCTCGCTGGCCTAATCGCGGTTGAGAACCAAGAATTCCCCAAGCGGCTTGTCCGGCTTGGTGCCTTGTTCGGTTGTGGTTGTTCCTTGGCACCATTTTATCGGATCGTTTTGTCTTTCATTTTTCTTGTTTTGTTTATTTGTTGTGTTTGTGTGTTGTTAGGTTATCTGTAAGGGCTTAAAGCCGGGCAGTAGCCTCTTTTCTAAAAAACGTTGGGCATAGATAAAGCTAACACAGCATACGCACCTAAACAAACGAAGTGGTCTGAAAATTGGTTCCCTACATCAAGGACCTGCAACTAATGATGGAAATTGGAGCGGATCTGGAAAATGGTTGCCTACGAGTGCGACGGGTACGACGGGTAGCAATGACTCTGACCCTAAACCCTAAAGCATAAACCTAACCCTAACCCTAAACCATAGTCTATCGTTGAATTGGTTGTGCATCCGCAAGGGTGTGAACTTCATGATACACTATGGCTAACCGAGGCACGCGAAGATGAACGATGTATCCCGAAGTTCACACCCTTGCAGGATGCTAATTTCCGTTTTGGAGAGGTGTGGAGGCACAATGCTCCCCCAAAATGCCACTACGACCACCGTAATCTCCTCACGCCCTCGCACAATGCAAGATGCCGTGATTCCACTAAGGGACCCTTAAGGGTGGTCACTGAACCCGTACAATTGGCAACCCTTGGGGCGGTCACCGAACTCGTACAAATTGCTCGGGGCAATCTCCACAACCTAATTGGAGACCCAAAGCTTGCTTGGAGCTTTACACCACAATGATTGAGCTCCGCGGCACCACAAACCGTCTAGGGCGCCAAAGCACCCAAGAGGCACAAGCTCTAGGGTGCCCAAGCACCCAAGAGTAATAAGCTCCTTAACTTTCAAACTGATGCAACGAAAGTTATGGAGGAATATGAGAGGAAGAACAACGTGAACGCAAAAGAACTCCAAGATCTAGATCCACTAGGTTCCCCTCACTGAGAGGACAGATGGATTGGTGAAAATGTAGATCTAGATCTCCTCTCTCTTTTCCCTCAAAAAAGCAAGAATCATGGGAGGAATAGAGAGAGAGAGAGTGTGCAAATCTTTTGGAGGTCAACAATGGAGGAGAAAGCTTGCCCCAAGTCGTTGGGGCAATGGGGTAGAAGACCCCCTTTTATAGCCCCCCCATCTAATTGCTATGCACTCTTCCCATGCTCAAGCGGTACTACCACTTGGGGGAGCGGTAGTTCCAGTGCCAGCCAGTGTGTACTACAGATTACAAGCACGGTAGTTCCAGAGCGGTACTACTGGCTAAAGTGAGCGGTACTACCGCTAAATGTCACTTGATACAGAGGGACCAGCGGGAGTGGAGCGGTGCCAGAGCAGAAGTACCGCGTGAAGCGATACTACCGTATAACAACCGTCCAACTACCGCAAGAGTAAAAAGGGCAACAAAGGCTTGCACACCTCTCGAAAGCAAGCAGTAGTAGCAGCGATAGTAGCAAATGGAAGTACCGCGCAAGAAGTACTATCGTGAGCTAACCAGAGATGTGCAGAAGGAAAAATCCAAGCGGTAGTAGCTGTGGCAGCTGAAAGTGGAAGTACCCCCTAAGCGGTTGTCGGTGCTAAAACCGGCAGATCTCAGGTAGGGGGTCTCGAGCTCGTGATCTAGGGATGATGGTAACAGGGGGAAACAGGAGACGATGTTTACTCAGGTTCATGCCCTCTCGAAAAGGTAAATCCCTACGCCCTGCTTGGTTATATTGATGTGATGGAGTATCAAGTACAAGATGGTCTACATCCAGATCGTATGTTGTGTTCTAAACCCTAAGGCTGGTAAGTGTATCTCTAAAGACTAAACCCCACGACTTATATACACACAAGGGGTTCCTAGGTTACACATATGGTCGGTGGCCAGACATGCTGGCTAGTGAGTTATCCTTGAAGCTCACGCCAAGTCTTCGAAGGTTTCCATCTTGATCATGCTGAGGTTCATAGCTTCTGGAGTCCTTCCTTGTGGAGATCAGCGGGTCGTAAGCTCGGCCCATGGACTGTGGGTCTGATGTCTACTACACAACCTTCTTCTTATAGACGTTGTTGGGCCTGCAAGTGCACAGGTTTGTAGGATAGTAGCAAATTTCCCTCAAGTGGATGACCTAAGGTTTATCAATCCGTGGGAGGCATAGGATGAAGATGGTCTCTCTCAAACAACCCTGCAACCAAATAACAAAGAGACTCTTGTGTCCCCAACACACCCAATACAATGGTAAAT